AGTAAAAACCTAGCCACACCGGTCCCACTCTCATGCCTTGATTCACTCACCTGGCAGATGTGGATTGGGTGACAGTTCTGTGTCAGGCACTGTTGTGGGTGCTAGGGATATAGCAGTGGTAAGAGAGAGTAAACAGATAAATCAGATAATTGCAGAAAATGATAAATGCTATGAATAATCACGGTTAGGGGCTAGAGATTGACAATGGGGGAAGGGGACAATGCTATTTGAGTAGGATGGCCAGGAAGGACCTCTCTCTGTTTGCCACAGTCCACTCCATGCCCTATTACCCCACTTACTTCAGTCATTTACTGCTACCTGCCTGGCAATTAGAGGCAACTGAGACTAAGAACATACAATGACAGGAAACATAATGAAGAATTTAAATTAGGAACAGGGGAAATGTAAATAAGATTAGGATAACAAGAGCAGAGGAAATGAGAATCAAGTGTGCATGCCACAAGAGCCTTCGTCATGGGTAGAGCTGGGCATCAGATTTAAACCTGAACTTCCTGGCAACTAGGGCAAAAGGGAGATATGTCCAATGACATCATCCTCATTTTCAGAAAGGAAGAAAGAAAGCCATTCCTTTATAGGTACAAAGCTTTCCTCACCTAAACTTGGAATAGAAATTGACCACATCAGACTTTATAAAGGGAACTGTGAGTGATATAGTGATCAATATCTTCACCAACACATTCACAGAAGTATGGTATTTCCCGTTGATCAGTCATTCATTCAAAACCCTTTTGTCGAGACACTAACAGAAGCACTGGCCATGCAAAAATGCCTGTTGTTTTCCCTTTTTTCCCTGGTGTCCAGAGATAAGAGATGAGGGCGTCTCTTACGAGAACATTGTTATATGAAAGGTCAAGATGATGCCATGCAGACCTCTGCTCCTGCTGATTTCAATTCACAGAGTATCAGAAGAATGGACAGAATGCCTGTCACTCAAACTCCCTTCCTTCCATAAATCTATCTTCTCTCAGCTGGTTAGACAGAGGGAAAGTAAAGAGTAGAATTAACAGTTCTTTGTGACATTCCTCAGTGACAGCCACTCCTATTACCAAAAGGCAATTTCTGTGGTCCTTGAACCTTTTGACTTAAGTAAATCTCTTTCTTTTTATGGACTAGCCCAGCGGGGAAATGCTAATGGTTACACATCCTGACGGCTTACTACTGAGACCGGCCCACGTGAGGGAAGGAAGTTCCTACATCTATTCATTCACCCCCTGCACAGGAAGCCTCTGCCACACTCCTAGGCTGGTGACCAAACACTGGGAAATCTAGCCTGTCTTCTAGAATGTTCCTAGGCAGTTCTTTCATGGCTTCAGTGTCCAAAGCTTCCTAAGGGTTCCCTTGCCAAAGGAGCCCAAAGGATTCTTGCTTTGTGTTAGCTCCATTGTGTACGCCCCAAGTACAGAGCATACCTATGTTTTTAAAGGTGTCCCCCTGCCCCCATGAGAAAACATACAGGCAGAAATATAGTTAAACCAAATTTTCTGCCCTTAGTTTTTGGCCCCGGGGGCTGCCTGGCTGAGTGCTTGTCACCGGGATTCTCTCCTGGCTCACTGGCGATTTTGCGGGCTCACTCTCCTGCAGTTGGCAAGCATCGAGGCATTGTCTGAGGGCCAGGGCCAAGCATTACTTCTCCCTCACTCTTTTGAAAACTGAGAAGAGCCTTTTGACTGTGCTGGTTCTAATCCTTCCCCAGACTTCCTCCACTCCATTACCATACCTCTCTGTTACTCTGACTAAATACCCCCTTTGAGCCAACCTCACAGAACTGGTTTTCTGGGTTTGCAACAATGACCTTCCAGAAACACCCTGAGCTCAGTCTGGCTCGAGCCTCACAGTCTCTGCTTGGCCATCTGGCAAAGAGGCCCTTCTGGTGCCAAAGTAACTGACCCCACGTGAGATGTTATCCAAGTCACTTGACATGGAATCCTGCTCCGTCCTGGAACGGGACAGCCCAAGAGTTCCAAAGGATTTGCTCCAAGAGTCCCAGCTAGTGCTGTGTTTCTGACAAACTTCATTTTGTAAATTTCTTTCCATGGACCATGAACAAATATTTAGGCTTACATCTACACACATGCATAAATACCTCAATATAGACTACATTGGTTTTTTTTTAATTTAATTTTTATTTTATATTGGGGTATAGTTGATTTACAATGTTGTGTTAATTTCAGGTGTACAGCAAAGTGGTTGTTATACTTATACGTATATCCATTCTTTTTCAGACTCCTTTCTCTTATAGGTTATTACAGAATATTGAGTAGCGTTCCCTGTGCTATACAGTAGGTCCTTGTTGATTATCTATTTTATATATAGTAGTGTGTATATGTTAATCCCAACCTCCTAATTTATCCCTCCCCCTACCACATCTCCCCTTTGGTAACCATAAGTTTGTTTTCTATGTCTGTGAGTCTGATTCTGTTTTATAAATAAGTTCATTTGTGTCCTATTTTAGATTCCTCATATAAGTGATATCTCATGATATTTGTCTTTCTCTGTCTGACTTACTTCACTTAGTATGATAATCTCTAGGTCCATCTATGTTGCTGCAAATGGCATGATTTCGTTCTTTTCTTATGGCTGAGTAATATTCCATTGTATATATGTACCACATCTTCTTTATCCATTCCTCTGTCAATGGACATTTTGCTTGCTTCCATGTCTTGGCTATTGTAAAGAGTGCTAAGACTACACTGTTTTAACTTAAATCATTTTTCATTCATTTCTTTTACCACTAAAGTGAGGTTCAAATTACAGTGCATCCAACACACCCATCGGGCTTTGTTCCTGAAGGGTAAGTGTTATCATTACTAAGACTTTTAGGGTAAATGCTTTGTAGATTAATAAAAACTTGTCACCAACATGCACTGAGTGGCCAGGAAACACCTGGAAAAGGTACGTTGAGTTCAGCAGGTGCTCAACTTGTGAAATAATAATAATCGGTCACTTCCTGAGCTCTTCTCATGTGCCAGACACCATAAAACTCTTTACATGGCTTGGCTTATCTTGTTTAATTCACATGATTCTGAAAGGTACTATGATAATTTCCATTTTTCAGGTAGAAAAACTGAGGTTTAAAGAGGTTAAGTAACATGCCCAAAGTCACCAAGCAGCAGGACTGGGTTTGAAACCAGGTCCGTTATACTTCAAAGCTCTTAACAGGAGGCAGAAGGGAAGGCAGAGGAAGGTGGTGAGAGGGTGAGAGGTCTTGGGTAGCCCACCCTTCACGACCCCTCAAGCTTCCTGATCAACTCTCTGCGTCCATACTGTGGTGTTTGTCTGTTTAATGGACAAAGAACCGCTTTTTCAGAATCTCCATCAGTCATTTTCTCTGTTCGCTCTGATTGACTCCTGATTAAATCATCAAGATGGAGGTTTCCCAACCTCGCCAACACTGGCATTTAGGGCTGGATATTTCTTGGAGGTGGAGAGCTGTCTTGTAACATATTGAACAGCATCCCTGGCTTCTGCTCACTAGATGCCAGTAATATCTCCCCAGTTTTGACAATCAACAATGTCTCCAGAAGTTGTCAGATGTCCCCTGGAGGGCAAAACCACCCCATACGGAGAACCACCGCACTTGATACAACTAGAGGTGAAAGGAGATTAAAGTTCCAGAGGTGATGGCGAAATTCCCCAGAGAGCAGAAGTTTCTGTGGGTCTGGCTGGGAGGCCTCTGGGAATTCTTCAGGCGAAGCAACCTCATTCCTAGTCACCCTGCCATTCTGACCTCAAGCTAACTGGAAAAGGCCAAGACTAATCACCCAAAGGAAGCCTCGGGCGCCATAGGCTGACATGTGGGTGGAGCAAGGGGGGGGGGTCCCTCCGAAAGGCCCTGATGGCCATGATTAACCTTCCCAGTGTCACCATTCTGGCAGGAAATTTGTGTCTAGCTGGGAAATGGTCCTTTCTTCCATAGCCACCTCTGTGGCATTCATTTAATCCCAAGCATAAATGACTAAAGAGTGATCATGCCAGATATGACTTTAGGGTATACGGGGTATGCGGGAAGTGCCCAGGCTGGTGCTGGTGTCTCATGGCTTATCACAAGGTGGCCAGTGGGACACAAGAGTCCTTTGTCTCAGGCCCCACACTGGGCCTCAAATTTAAAATTTTGACATCCTCTCCCATGTTATATACATGCTGAATTTTTGCACGTGGTCAAAAGCACTAATTTGTTCAATATATACATTTAAAATATATCACGCTTTTCACATGTCTATTTTGGAATTTCTTTTATTTTAAATATCTCAAGAGCCTCAAAAAGTGGGCATGGCCCAGGCCTGTCTTAACTTCTGACATAGCCTGCTTTCAACATTATAAGGCAGAGCAAGACACATAGGGAGAGTGATCTCCAGGGGCTAGAAGGCCTTGGGCCCCCAAATTGTTCCGCATGTGCTCTTAGTGCTGAAAATTCCATGAAAACTGTCTACGCGATGTCTTACATTCCAGGATAATTCTTTAAATAAAAAATATCCCTGGGAGAATGTATAATGACCTCTCAAAACTAAATCACGAGAAAATAGACAAGCCAATTTAAGAAATGGTCAAAAGATTTGGACAGTCACTTTGCCAAAAGAAGATTTACAGATAACAAGTAAACACATGGAAAGATGCACAACATTATTAGTCATCAGGGGAAAGCAAATTAAAACCAGATTGAGACACCATTACATACATTTTAGGATAGCTAAACCTAGAAAGGATGACCATACCGAATGTTGGAAAGCATATAGGAACTGCAACTACTTGTGGGGAAAAAAAATGGTACAACCACTTTGGACAACAGTCTGACAGTTTCTTAAAAAGTTGAACATATACCTGCCATACGATCCAGCCTTTGCACTCCTCAGAATTTACCAAAAAATGAAGGCTTATGAGCTTCTCTGGTGGCGCAGTGGTTGAGAGTCTGCCTGCCGATGCAGGGGACACAGGTTCGTGCCCCGGTCCGGGAAGATCCCACATGCTGCGGAGCGGCTGGGCCCGTGAGCCATGGCCGCTGAGCCTGCGTGTCCAGAGCCTGTGCTCCGCAACGGGAGAGGTCCGCGTACCGCAAAAAAAAAAAAAAAGAAGGCTTATATCCACACAAAGTCTTGTGCACGTATATTCACAGCAGCTTTATTTGTAATCACCCCAAGCTAGGAACAACCCAAATGCCCATCAACAGGTGAATGAATGGACAGACCACCATGGAAAAGTACTGAGCAGTAAAAAGGAACAAACTATGCATACATACAGTATGAATGAATCCCAAAAGTATTTTGCTGAGTGGAAGAAGCCAGACAAAAGAACATCCTGTCTGATTCCATTTATATAGGATTCTAGAAAATGCAAATAACCTATAGTTCTAGGAAGCAAATTTACGGTTGCCTGGGGATGTGGAGTGGAGGGGCGAGCTAGAGGAGGGATTATAAAGGAGAATAAGGGAACTTAGGGAGGTGATGGACATGTTTATTATCTCAACTGTGGTGTGGACGAAGAGTGTCACCTGCCGTATCGGTAAACACAGGAGGTTGCGACCGTCCAGGGAGCAGCGACTGCAGCCCCCACAAACAGTACACCCTGAGGGCATTCAGGATGGAGAAAAGCAAGATCCAGGCCCTAGATAGTTAAGGTGCATAGCAAAGGAATGATTTCACTGAGCCCAGACTCTTGCATCTTCTCATACAAGGTGCTAAATTTATGAACGTGAGATGTCAGGTTTTCTTTAATTAATAGTAATCTTTTGATGTTCCAACTACCCAGTTTTTGTTGCAAAACTTCTCTATGTTCTGGGCCCTCCCTTACCCCTGCGGAGCAGTCCCTCAGAGCTACCTGAGAGGCTGGCTTCTGGGCTTAAGTCCTCAGTTTTGTCCGCCAAGTAAAACATAATTCTCAGCTTATAGGTTGTGCATTTGTTTTCAGTCAACGGTGGTGATGATTTCGTGGGCATATCTGGATGCCAAAATTGATCAGATTGTACACATTAAATATGTGCGTTAGGATGGAGCTCAGGCACCAGGGTGCTGTGAGGGTGACAGAGGCACAGTCATTAATGAAATCTTCCTGGGCAGTTTTTCCATCTCCCTCTCCTCGGGCTGAGCACAGAGGCTGTAGCCATCGTTCTTGAGCGCTGCCTGGATTGTGTTACTAGAGTCAAGTGTGAGAAACTCATTAAAAATGCAGCAGCTTCTGGGTGGGTGAAAGCCCGGCTGTGACACCCTCTCATAGTACCTGAAGGGCACCTTTTATCGGGATAAGTTCTCTTGGGGCCAGAAGAGATTAGATCAGAATACACTGGATATACTCGCAGGGCTGAAAATCCCTCCTTAGACAGGAGAGAAAAGAGGGTCCCTCCCCACCAGAGTGGAGAAAGTGGCTGAGCAGCTTGGATCCTCTCCAGCCTACTTAGGCCAAAAAACCGTGCAGTGTCCCAGTGTTCATTGAGAAAATCAAACGCGCGCGCGCGCACACACACACACACACACACACGCGCGCGCGCGCACACGCGCACACACACACACACATACACACACAGCGGCATCAGAGCCCAGCCGCCTCCGAGGCTGGGGTCTGCAGGTGCAAACTCCAATTAGAGCAGCCGGCCTTCCAATACCTTTTCATCCCGAACAAGGACTGGGTCTCAGCCCCCGCCAGGGATTGAGGAAGGTCCCGGAAGGACTGCCGACCAGACGGGAGGAAACAAAGACTGTCCAAAGAAAAGCAGCTCATGTGAGTCGAACCTGAAACCCTCCCTTCATTCTAAATACTCTTGTGAGAATTAGCCAATGCACATTTGGTGGAAAATCAGTCACTGGCCACAAGGAAACAAACCGCCTTCCAAGGCCCTCCACTTCCTCCGCTAAGTTGGGGAGATTTCTTTTGCAAACCAGCGAGGCGCAGTATTTCTACAATGGCACAGTCTCCGTGGTTGTTTCCACCATTGACAACAGTTCCCCCTAAGCTGATGTGTTTTTCAGAGTTATGGATGCAGGGTGGTCCCTCTGTAACTGGTGGCTCTTTATCATCAATTTCACCTCAAGGCTTAAAAGAAATCACTTGTGCCCCTCATTGTTAGCAAGTAAGCATGTGCTCGATATGCTTGTCAGTGCTCTCTTCTCAGCAGAAAAGCACTAAGACCGCAGGCTCATTTTCTCTACTCCTCCTCTTCTCCCTCCTCATGTTTCTTTTACTGACTTTTTAAAGAGAAGGCTAAAAGGTCAAGAAGCTGATATAGAGCCCTGTGCTTCCTCTACAATCAAGTCAGCTTGTTCCACAGCCAAGGAAGCACTCCAGAGGGAGAAGGACATCTCTGCAGGGGAGTTAATTCCTGCTGAGCTCTCCCAGCTGCTCTGCCACTGCCCCAGCCACCACCCTCTGCCAGGGGCTGTTTCCTCCCCTTCCCGAAAATCTGGCTTGTTTTCTAATGTCTAAATCTCCAAAGGAGCACCAACAATTAGAAATGTTAACAAAAGAATGTTACAAACATTCTCGACCTTTCTAGACTTCTCTTGAAAACTTCAAACATTCGTTTCAGGTCAGAAGGTCTGAGTTTGAGTGTGCTGCTTCAGGCTTCAGTCTCCATCAGCAGCCTGACCTTGACCTAGGCATACGTTTCCTCCTCTGTAAAAGGGGAAGTCCAGTGTTCATCAGTTCTGAGACACTCATGCTTTCACATCTTAACATATCTGAAACTGCATGGTCTTTTTGTTTTGTTTTGTTTTACAGTTGATTGTGTGTCATCGTTTAACCGGCAACATACTGTTTTCTTTCTGGGTGGTACATTAATAAAAGGTGCATATTCCACCCTTTGGCATCTTAGAAGTGATGAAATACAAGAATAATTATACCTACCTCATGTTGTCTTGAGGACCGGGCGATGCCACAGCTTCACAGGGTTGATGTGAAAAAGTAAATAGAGTGTGAAAGGATATGAACAGTGCAAAGCACTGGCAAATTAGGGGATTATTATCAGGACTGGGAGTATTTTCTTGCTCCTGGAATAGATCAATCCTTTACTTTTGAAATTACTCAGGAAATTTCATGAAAGTTGCACCCACGATCTTCTACGACTATATTTTTCGTGCAGTGGTTGGTACAAACAGATTAGTTTAGTGGATCATGAAATGTTTCTGTCATCGGAAATAGATTCCAAAAAGAGTTTGAGAACTACTGCTTTGGGAAAAGCAAAACACAAGTTCTTCGGAGGCCAGAACATTCCTTTCTCCATGTCTATGATGTTGCAAATGTGAGGTTACATGGGACCTGATTACTGGGATCCTCCCATTTGCATTCTGAGATTCTTTGCCAGTGGAAATTGGATTTCCACTCATAAAACTTCTTTTGCATATGTTCTGTTGTCTCAGTGGTAAAAGGGATGTGAAAAAATTGAGGCAATAATTCAGTCCTAAATTATTAGTACAACCCAAGATTCTTCCATGTAGGTCATCCAGATTATTACCTAAATTGCTTTTTTTTTTTTGGAGGGGGTGGATGGGAGAAAGGTTACCTAGATCCTGTGTATAAGAGAAAGCTTATAACACCTTCACTCCAAACAGAAGTTTTAAACAACAGATCTTGGCCTGGTTTCTTTATACAGGTTGGTTCGTTCCTTGATATAAAGGAACGATATACATCCAAGACATTTCTCTGGAGTCTAAACATAGACTATGATGGGATCCGCTGGTTGTGTGTGTAGGACAGGAGCATTTGCTCCCTGGGAACAAAATATGGAGATCTGCTGTCCTATTGTCAAATACTATCAAAGTAAATGAATAAATGGAAGGGGGTAGAAAACCAAGGCTGCTTCTAATTGCCATTTTGTTACGTGCTTGTGTATAACTGTTTCAACACACTTAAATATGAGCATTATCATTTCCATGTTTCTAGTATCAAAACCTGGCACTCAAAGGAGAGACGATTTCTGTTAAAGTCACAAGAATTAGGAACAGAATCACCTTAACACCCAAATCCTGTCTCAAAGCCCTGCTATTCTATTCTAAGGGGCAAGAAGGGCCACGCAGTGTCCCTGAGATGTGGTGACAATCGCCCTGCCATCCACTTTTCCTACCACCTTCTCTGAGGGGAATTGCAAAACTGGCTACTTTATTCACATGGTTGTCTTCTTACCACACAGTGACATGCAGAAGCAGATGCTCGCTAATTTTTTTTGAGACAGTGAAGTTTTGTCTTTCGCAAGCCTGTCAAGGATACATCCCTTTTGCCCCACCATTCCTCCTCCCTTAAAAAAAGAGAGAGGAAAAAAAAAGGAGAGAGAGAAAAAGTAATAGAAGTGCGGTCCCAATGAGATACCCTCTTCGATTTCTGTTCTGAATAGCAGGTATTGTCCTCAGAGGTTATTGCTTCTGGAGAGCTGGCCAATAAAGATTAGCATCTCCTTTGCTCAAATGCAGTGCAAGAACACAGTTTTTAATTGGCCTGCCCAAGGTCACACAGGAATGAGCAGTGGAGCGGGAAGTGGGGCCCCAGTACTGTAATTCTCCTTCACTGGCCGTAGCAGCCCACACTGCTGTTTTATATACACTTAGTAAATATTTACAGCCTTAAATATCTTCCCCATCACAGTTAGGACAAGAAGTGCTTTCACATATATGCATGTGCATGCGAAACAGATGTGAGAAATATAAACTTGAATTAAACGGACACAGCACCCCTGATAGTAAAAGTACTAGACTAAAACCCGGGAGACCCAAGATTCAAGACGACTGCTTTGCCCTTTCCCATCTCTTGGTTGTTCTTTAATATTCTGAGCAGAGAGTACACCTTTGACTAAGAGACCTAAAATCTGTGCCCACCTAGAAGTGCACTGATGAAAAAGGATGGGCAAAGTGTTCTCTGTGTTGCAGCCTTCCCAAGCTCATGATGCCCTAAAACATCCTATGTTGGAAAAAGTAGTGAAAGCCCATTATAAGATGGCTGGGTTTTGTGTTGGAAAGAATATTGATCAAATTATGCCCCTACTTCCCAAGAGACTTTTTTTTACATTAAATTATATATAACTTACACCAAGATATTGATTCTACTTCTCTTTATAATAATATTGAAATACAGTTGACCCTTGAATAATCTGGGGGTTAGGGGCACCAACCTTAACCAAAGTTGAAAATCCATATATAACTCATAGTCAGCCCTAGGTATCCATGTTTCCCCGTATACACGATCCACATCCTCGGATTCAACCAATGTTCAATCGTGTAGCACTGTATTTACTATTGAAAAAAACCGCATGTAAGTAGAACCGCACTGTTCAAACCCCTGTTATTCAAGGGTCAATTGTAATTGCGATATATTAACACTGAATGGACTCATTCTATCCTAATCACATATATCCTTTACTATAAGATACTTGAGGAAGAACATCTATCTGAATGGAAGTTTATATTTTTAAAATTAGATTTTTTAACTTTGTAGCGAGTTATGTAACATAACCTCAGTTCAAACCAACTAAAGAAAAAGAGAGATTTCATTGGCTCACCTAATTGGGAAGTCCAGAGGGGGGGATCTGGTTCAAAGAATGTCCGTGTTCTCTTCTCTCTCCACATCTGGCCTCTGCACATCTCTCGTGCTTCCGAGTGTGTTGGTAGAATTCTATCCGCCCCCACCCCATGTGACAGGAAAGATGGATGGCAGGCCTCCTCCTTACAGCTTGTTTTCAAAAAGGCGGAGGATGCTGTCCTTCTCCCTCTTATTCCAAAATGCTGGAGAAGGGTTCCGATTGACTTGATGAACCATCTACCCCTTGGACCAATGCCTGTGACCAGAGAGAAGTGGACTGTGCTCAGCAGAGGCTGGGTCCTGTGCCCACCCGTCCTGCAAGGGGGGCGGGGTGAGCCGGTCGGGCAATGAGACGCCATGATCACAGCCCCACTAGGACCAAGGGGTGGAGACGGAGATCCCCAGGGGAAAGGGAGTGCTGATGCCGGAAGGAGAAAAAAAGTAGTTGGGCAGGCACAGAATATTGCTTAGCTCAGACTGTTCCATTAGACTTATGATAATAATTATTATTATAAAAATCCACTTGAGCAGCTGGTATTGGGCGCTCAAGGCTAATGTGTGTGACTTTCAGATTTCCCACCCTCTTCACTGGAGAGTGTTATCATGACAGACATGACTTACCATATACTCCATGCCCTGGAGGGTTGAATTGCAATGGTTTCATAATGTTATTCACAAGAATATTTGTAACAAAATATATTGTTTTCAATCAGTTTCTGCACAGGATTCCAGTGCTTCCCCAGAAAAACATTTTGTGAATTCTAGGAGGTCCCTTGTGGAGTAGCTGGCACGTATTTTGCTATAGAACCTTCCTGGTGATGGAGAAAACTAGGCCCTAAGGAGGTTATGCAATCTCCCCAAAGTCCCACAACTAGTTTGTGACTGAGCCAGTAAACTCTTGTCTCAAGTCCTGGCTGTGGGGATCAGCTCCCTCTGCTCCACTGTTTGGTCCAGAAATTGAAGACTGAAGTTGATGAGGGTTCTTTATGTCAAGCACTAGTGTAATTGGCTTTTAATGGCCTTATTTTCGTCTTACAAGGAAAATAGCGTATCCTTTCCTGGCTAAACGCTATCTCAGAAAAAGCCACAAACCAGCCTCCTGAGTCCTGTTGATAAAACTGAACGCAGCCTAATTCTGCTGAGCTGGCAAAAACGGATAACTTCACTGCAGCTTCCCTGGCCATGGCCCACAGAACAAGGATCTGTATTTCTGGATATTACTGTATATCTTTCTTAGTCTATCATGGCTGGAGGAAGTGGAAAGCACTACAAAAAAATGAGGTGAGAAACCCTGGGAAAGGGAGATAGTAAAAGGAAGGTACAGAAGGAAAGAAAGAGAAAGAGAATGGAGAGACTAAGAAAATCATTGTGCATGGGGACCAAAGAGAAGAGTGGAGAACCAAGTTTAGAGGGAGATGGCAGGAAGGTTCCAGGAGGCAAGAAAACTTGACATTACTGGATCCCTACTATGTGCCATGGACATTCACATCCATTCTCTTGTTGCATTTAATGTCATCCTCACAACATCCTTGCAAGGGATGTGTGGCCATCCCACATTGTAAAGAGAAGAAACAGAGGATCATAGCTTCCAGGTAACTTGATGGATTCTTGCAGCTAAGAAGTAATAACATTGGAGCTAAACCCAGACATATCTGACTCCCAAGTTCATATTCTTTCTGCCCCAACCTCCCCATCACCCACATACTATCTAGTCACTATTGTCATAAGACAGGTTATCTAGAGGCAGAACCTGAGACAAGGATTCTTGTACAAAGGATTTCTTGAGGAAGGGCTCTCAGGAGAAGGGGAGTGAGGGAAGCAGGATAGGGCAGCGAAATTGTAAGCAAAGACAGAGCCACAGTTACTCTAGCTTTAGCCTGATCTGACAGAGAACATGGATTACCCTTCAGAATTCATCCCACCTTGAGGCAAGGGAATCAGACTCCAACACCCCTGCTAGCCAGTCATTGACTGTGGGCCATCCCTCCTGGCCAGGGTAGAGAGGGGTATGGGGGGTGTAACATCTCAGGGGGGCAGCTGTGTAAGAAAGGGGGGCCCTGAAGAGAAGAAACCAGTGCCCCAGTGGTCACTGGAGACCCATGCTGAGTGCCAGTGTCCGTTCCAAAGGCCTGGCCAACTGCAGCAGCCAAACCGAAGGTAGTAGACCTCACACTGGGGCAGTTCCTGGGTAATATGGCCCTAGATCTGCCCCTCCCAACTCCCCCTGGTCCCCTCAATGGCCCACTTGCCTCCCCTCACAGGTGAAGATTCAATGGATTAGAAGCATCAGAGGACCAGGATCTTTGAAGGTACCCAATGCCTGGTTTCACTTTCAGAATATTCATATATTTATCACATTCAAATATTTCACCACATTCATATTTATCACCAGCACTTTCTGTACTCTCTCTTCCTTGCTTTTCTCTAGCAGATTTTACTTCAAACATGTGATAACTATGGCATCTCACTAAGCCAGGGATTCTCAAGGGCTTTAAAATATATATACCAGTGCCCAGGCTTTCTCTACCTGCAAGGGGGTTCCGAATCAATTCACCTGAGATTTACTTTAAGTCCCAGAGTGATTCTAATTGCAGGCAGGATTGAGAATCACTGTACCAGGCATACCTCAGTCACTTGGGGCCAATATATTAGAATCACACGGGCACTGAAAAAAATACCCATGCTCAGGTCCCATCCCCCAGAAATTCTGATCTGATTGGTCTGAAGTGGGGGTCTGACATCAGGGTTTTTTAAAGCTCCCCAGAAACTTCAAATGTGCAGCCAGTGTGGAAAGTTGGGGGATTTTTTTGAATTGTACCATGGGGAAGCATGTCAGGATAGGGTGGTTTGGAACTGTGCTGGGATCAGAGTCCTAATGAAAAGAAGAGAGGCCTGCGTGGACAGTAGCAACAGAAGTGAAAGGAGAAACTCTCACTTTTAATCTGACAGCCAACAGCCAGTCTGATTAGATTTCCTATCAAATATAAAGTAAAACTAGATTTTTCAGGAATCTTTTTGTGTCTTCAGGTCTTCCTGTTGGAAAGCTTTCTGTTAGAAGGTTTCTGTTGGAGGTCCCCAGGAGAATCATCCCAAAAATGGTGCGAGGAGAAAGGGATTATTGTACCTGAGGTCAGGCCCAGAATTAATTTACCCAATCAAGATTGTTCAGGCGCCTATATTATCCCACCCGGCTCCTGAACATTCACCCCCACTGGATATACAGACCCCATGAAAACCAACCACTGGGGACTGAAATTGTTTCCAAGTGGCTGTATCCCTCACATTCATGGGCCTCTGCCCCCCTCCCCCCACCCCCTCCCCCAATTCTCCATATTGACCCAGTCCATAGTACTGCACTTCTAGCCCGGTGGGCCTCACTGCAAAGTTCTCACCTAGTTCCCCTCACTGGCTTACCTGGACTGGCCTGCTCGAACTGGCCTCTGCATCCAGGTAGGCCCTGACCCCCCCAGGTAGGCTCATGTCCTATCCTGATTTGCACCTCCAACTTCTAAAAGTGATACAGTTGATTCTCCATATTCCCAGTAGCTATATTCCATAAAGTCACTGCAAACACTGAATCAGCAAATACTGAACATTGTTCCCAGGAGAAATATAGGGTTAGCTTCCTGAAAGCTTCTGGACACATTCTCAGCAGTCAATCAATATATAACCTTGTTTTAGACGTGTTTCTGTTTATAGACTCCTTACTTATTGTATAGTATTGATCCATTAACATTGAACTCATGACCAATAGCACCATAACTCGAGCCTGAATGAAGCTTATCTAACACACCTATGTCCTCTGCAAGGCACATCACTGCCTGTTATACTTAGGAACACTGGACAGCACTTCAGCACTATGCTTGGGGGCCATTTTAAACAGAGAAATCAACAACGGAAAGCACAAAAATGCAAAAAAAAAATGTGGCCTTAAACAGACCATGAAAAGGACACGTTTACAGTATGAGAGCTGATGAAAGAAGGCAAATGTGTCTGAGCGTGTCCACGGATGACTGTGAAAGCGCCACAAGCATTGAACTGGGGGCTACGGATACATTTAGTAACTAGAGGAATCCGCAAGTATGGGATCGACAAATAATGAGGATCGATTGTGTAAGCATCCTGTTCTGGTGACAGGATGTTTTAATACCTTGCTATTAATTTAAAAGCTATGTTCTAAGCAAGAGCTCCTGAAATATTACAGAGCTCAGGTCCAGAGAAAACTCACACGGTGCTGTTACCCTTTTTCTTTTTTTTTTTTTTAAGCAAGAAATTATTTTTGTGGAGAAATACTCATATTTCCACAGATGATTGAAGGTTTTTTTCCCCCCAAGCAATGAAACATAATAGAAAAAACCAGTATCAGTACATTGTGTAGATTTTGGCTTTTCGCTAGAAGAGTGTTTTGTTGTAATGGGAAAAATAGATACATTTGTGGTCTTCATTGTGGATACGTAGAGAGGATCTTTTTTTTTTTCCTTTGTTCAAAATGGTATCATTCATTTAAAAAAATCAAAGCGTGGTGTCTCTCTGTCATGTAAAACAAAAGACTCCATCCAAGCCAGGGGTGTTGGCCTTGGTGTTGTCCAGCTGAGATCTGTTGGGAATAGGCACAGACTAACTACCACCACCCTGATCACCCCAAAGACTGAGCAGAAAAGGGAAGTGGGTGTCTTTTTCCTCCCCTCCCAGGTCTGAGCCTGTCTCTGACCTCTGGTTCCGTTCTGTTGCAAAAGGCTTTGCTCCTGGTTCAGAGCACCCTTGGGCTGGGCGGCAGCCTGTGTGCAGATGGGCCATTTGGAAGGCACACTGCATCTTTTACAACACTCTTTCTTTCCAGGTCTGGGAGAGAAGCCACGCTTTGGCACTGCCTTGGACATATTTGAAGGGATGGGCCAACACAGACCAGAAGGGGCCAGAGCCAGCTCTTAGCACTGAAACTCTGTCCCTTTGCTAGAGGTGGTGTGAGCTTGGTCTGTTTCCTGGTGGCCATTATTCTGGCTTCCAAGGGCAGCTTCCAGTCCTGTTTCATTTGCGGGTGCACCGAGGGATGGCTGGAGGCAGGGCGGAGGGGGCTTCCCCACCCCTCCCATCTCAGGTAGCCCCCTAGTCAGCCCAAACAAACATCCTAAACCTGCGCCCTTGCCCCGTTCCCTCAGCTTCAAGAAGTCTGTACTTGCGCCATCCTTCCAACCAAAAGGCTGCCTCCAGGCTTTGCCTAACGGAAATCCTGGAGATGATTCTGTTCCCAGTGAATTTAATTTTCACTCCCACTTGAAAATGTGAAGGGGCGCTAAAGAAAAATGCCCTCAGATTGGAGCATTGTGAACTTGACACCCACAATCTTCTCTTTTCGTTGCTTCCTAAATGCAGT